CACGAGTACTTACTACTTTCCTTTACTAAGGAGAATCATAAATATCTAGACTGCCGAAAACAGTTTTTCCACTATGCTCTTTTCTAAGCTGACAATATGTTCTGTCGTGCGAACAGGTGGAAGAATTGTAAACACAAATCTCCGTTTCTAGGATGGGAAATCAGTAAATCTTAGAAAAGAGCTTCAGTGTGGGCTTGTCTAGAGCAGCGGTGGCCACTTTGCACTGCCTGTGCTGCCCTTCTGTTGCAAGCATTTTGTGTATGGCTGCTGTTCAGTGCCTGCACCTGGGGGACGCAGAGAAGGACCTGGCACAAGGAAAAATGCAAAGCTGAATGCTGAATTTCTAGATTTATACAGGAGTTTTAGAATTTTCCTTGTTTTTATTTGTATTAAGAATTAAGAGTCTGAATTTTAAGTTACTTTTCCACCAAAAGTAATACATATATGTTCAGCATGAACTCATGAAGTCCAAATTAGAACTTCTACCTAACATGCACCAAAATCATCAGTCACACTCAAAAAAAAAAGTTACTTCCTAGCAATAGAAAGCAGTATCTTTAGGCACAATTTAGTATGGTAAGAGGTAATTTTAAAACATAAATTTATAATGTGCAAATACCTATATGTTATAAAATATTGAACACTTCACACAAATCACAAAGTAAACCAAGTAATCACTCTTAAAGTTACCTTATGAAACAAACTGCTTAACAGAATGGGGGGGGGTGGGCAGGGGGAGGTAAATACTCTTTTTGCTTTCTGCATGGACTGCAGTGACTGCTGGACTATGAGTGGGGCAGAGCATTCCTGTTCAGTTGTTCACCAGGAAAGAAAACAACTGAAGAGATGCAGGTTGAGTGTCAGAGGGAGGAAGTTTTAGGATAACATTTTTGCCCCTTTTTAGCCAGGGCAAAACCAGTTCCCTCAACTGGACTAGGATTTCAGAATTAACAGGTAGGTGCTGTTACACAGCAACTGTAGTGAGAGGGGCATGACCTGCAAAGACGGGTAAATCTCTTAAGCTGGTCTTGCTTTGGGAGCTGGAATCTGTTAGATTTGAACCTGTCAGATGTTATCCTGCACTGCATCCTGGCTTGGTACGTACAGCTGAAATGAGGCAGTACTAATTAGATAAATAATTCTTGAATTTTAACATGGTGCTGACACAAACATAAGGCAAACAACCAGAAATATGTGAAAACAACTTCAAAGCAGAATTGAAACAATGTAAGTAGGCGACAAGAGCATTGATATTACTGAGCCCAAAGCAATACTTAATTAGCTTGCTTTATTTTTTTCCTTGGGCTCTATTTCAAAATAAATTCAGGCTTCAGTAAGAACTTGAAATGAACCATTGATTTACTTCTCTGGAGTCTTGAGGAAAAGGGAGACTTAATTTAAAGACAGGAATTTAACACAGATGAAATATGGCCTTTCTATGTGGGAAAAGAACAGAGTTGGATACAGTGCAGCAGCACGGGTTAGATTTTAAATGAACCTCTTGCATGCGAGTTACGACATGAGCATTTAAACCTGACCCTGACTTGGGCTGAATCACAGCTGCAGCCGTCTGGGAGGAGGTTGGTACCACTGTGGTCTCCTGCTTCCAGCTGCCTCTGCTGAACGGGACAGCAGAAGCTGGTGGTACGGCCCTGGGCTTGGGCAGGGCGGGCTTGTTCATGCGCTTGTTTCGCCTCTGCCCAGCTCCGTCAGCTTGGCCCAGGTGGAAATTGGAGCTAATTTGAACCTGTCCTCAGTAATACTTGCCTTCAGAAATAGCAAGAGGACTATAATCCTACCACTGAACCTAACCATCTACGTGTATTTTATACAGTGATTACAGTTTGGAAGTATGTACATGCATGCAGGCATTAACAGTTGCATTTCTGATTTCTGCGTGGAGATACTGTTTGTTAGCTCTGTGCTAGAAGTACAAATAAAAGAGTAATCTTCTTCACGCTTTGTATATACATGCGATTTGCATTTCCCGTGCTTTGCACAGCTGAATACTTGGCATTTCTGTCTCAAACATAAAACTGTAAGTAATAGCGTTTTGAATTCTGTGGATTGAAAACAATAAGCTGTTATCAAAAGCCCATTTGGAGAAGTGCAATTTTCTGATTCTAGAAGCCAGGAAACCCCAATTTTGGCCTCACTGCAGTGACAAATACGCATTTAGCTCAGTGTACTTTCTGTGGGAGTTAAACTGAATAATAACCTTACAATTATGATCTTTGAAGATGCTGAGCATTAAGCATTTAGAATGGTGGAAGGAAACATGAATTCCGAGAGGGGTGTGTCTCTCCTTATACGCACACGTCCCCACAGATGAAGAGCTTATTTGTGTCAGGAAGCTTTCCAAATGATGGTATTATTATGTGAACTGAAGTTCTTTCCAAAAGCTGTGATACTGGCAGAATTGAGCCCGGCTGGGTACTGGTAACTTCTCTCTAGTTTTCTAGAAGTTTTCTTGTTACCTTGTTATGCATTACATACTCCAGAATTGCTCTGTATTATGAATAGTGAAAACACTGTAAAGCTGGGAAATATTCTAAAAATTGACATACTACATCAGCTGGTGGCTGGCTAAGTGAGGAGAAGTGGGAAATGAAATCTGTCATTTTTCACTCATCTGTTAAATTCTGCAATGGAAAAACATCGTCTGTGATGGTAATTGGCGGCCTGTGTAAAACAGATCTTGCTCCGTTGCTCAGGATGTCACTCCACAGGCGCTTGATGGCCAAACAAAGCAATGACAACCTGCTGCCTGCTGTTGCAGAGGGTCGGGACAGCAAGGTGCGGGGCTGCAGGCAGGCGGGCAGGCGTGGGTGCCCGCTGCGTGGGGCTGTCTCCGGGCCAGGGACCCCTGGCACACAGCAGCTGGCCTTCCTGCTGGCCCCCGCCCAGCTTGCTCTCACCGTGCGATGGCGTTTCTGTCTCTCAGAAGTGTTTCAGAAGCACCAAATCTTTATGGTCACTTCGGAAAAAGTACACAGGAAACAACATAAACCCCAAACTAGAAGCGTAGTCTGAATATATTATTACGCAGCTTGGAGTTCTGCAGGTGTGTTATTCTTTTAAGGCCTGAAATGCAAAATACTGAGGAACCTTCCTTTATTGCACTCAGGTTCCCATATATCCTGGTGTTGTGCCTTTTGCAGTCTGGCATAATATTGCGTGGAACAACAACAATGACTAATGTGAATTCACAACTGGCAGCAGTTCAGCATGTTTGCTTTGTAGATGTTAGCACCTCTGAGAACTTTCCATATTGAAAACTCTGTAATTTAGAATGTTAGCAAAAGCTATTTATTAAAACCATGTATTTTATGAAGACTCCCAAGTCATATAATGTGTTCTAGATTTTTGCAGATGTGACTTATTACTATAGAGACATTAAAATTGAATAGTCTGTGAGCTATGATTTAACATCACTTTCTTTTGTCATACTTTATCAATCAAAATACCTTCAGAATCTGGTTTTATCATTAATTTGGTCATAATACTAGTCTTTGTACTTGATCTTTTTCAATGTTTAATACTTTGAAATTACACGACTTGAACTGTATTTTTATCACTATTTAAAAATAATAATTCTTTTATTAGCATTTTCTTTCTTCTGGTTTTTAACAATCTAAAATTGATGTATTGCAATGCATTTCTGGGAAATATGCCAACAGCTGTGGGTTTTAGTTTCAGGATGCCTGTTCATAGTTCAAACGCTCTCTGAAGTGTTTGTTGTAGGGGATACAGTCCTGTTTTTGGAATTCGTGGCAGCACAGCGTTGGCCTGATACACAGAGTGATGTTAAGACGGAGTCTGGTAGCTGTAAACATGAAGTGCAAGGACCCATATTTAAAAACTACCAAATGCTCAAAATAGAACCTAGTTTTTCAAATCAGTTCAACACTATTTAAAGCTATGCCCTAGGTTTCAAATGGGCTATAAGTAGTTTTTAAGAGGTTGCTGTTATGTAGATGTTGTACTTGCTTAGACGGTAAAATTGATCCCTGTTGTTCAGAGTGACAACGGCTCACTTAGGCCAACATTTCTTATGTCCATTGCGTCAGGGTTGCTCATACCAGAACCACTGTACTGTGCCCCTCTCATCGCAGGACCTTTACAGGCGAGCTTGTTTTACTGCCAGCAGCTAGTACTGCCTGTGGGCACAAGGACCGCAGCTGAATAGCTTAAAATGCAATGAGCTCTTGGAGACAACACGTAGGCAAGGAGCATTTGAATACTGGCTCTGGCACAAAGTTCCTCTTCAGGCACAGTTGGGACGTTTAATCTCTCGCCTTGCACACACCATCTGTAAAATGAAGTAATACCTGCCTACCTGTCTCATAGGAGCACAGCTGATTGACTGGTGCTTGTGAAGTGATACAGGAATGCAGTGAATGCACATCAGAGACATCTGATCTCCAGATATATAGGGAATTGTTCTTGGAAAAATGTAAAAATATTAGCAGCTGTGTTCATGTGTGTAGTATAGTACCATAATCAACTTCTGTAAGTGAAATGAGGGCTAGCATACGTCAAGGTGGTGCCGGAGCCTTTCAGCATCCTCTCAGTGACTTTCAGAAACTCGAGTCATTCCAAAGGCAATTATATTGCTTTTCAGAAATATTTTTGTAACCCCCAGTGCAAAGGGTCACATGTTCCGAGTGCTCTCCAGTCTTTAACCCTGGCTGCCTTTGGGCTTTCTTGGGCTCTTTTCAACTGGCCAAACCTGCAGCATGACAGCAACAACAGCTGGCCTGAATTTGTTGAAGTCATTGGTATTCACTGATAACCATAAAACCAGGAAAATCATCCCTTTTGTCAAATCACACACATTTCACGGTAGGATTTTAACAAGATTTCAATGATGCTGCTGTCTTGTATAAAATGAGATGAATTAGGTCCCTGTTGTGTTAGGTTCACTAAAACCATAGGACTATTACCGTATTATTTTTTGCATGCAGCATATTGTGACCTACATATTTTCCTTCTTTTAGAAGATAAAGGGAAAGCAAAATCCAATAGTGCAAGTCAGCAGTCCAGTACAGAAGTGGGTTCTTTTGTTCCTAAACCTGGAGTGGCAGCAGTGGCACCTGTAACGCCTGCCTCATCCTCCAAGAGCATGAATGGAGCTCCTAACACAGTTTCTGAGTCAGAAGAGGAAAAAGCCAAAAAACTACTTTACTGTTCATTATGCAAAGTGGCTGTGAATTCCCTGTCACAACTAGAAGCCCACAATACAGGTGAGTATGCATATAGTGCAGGTCGTTTGTGTGTTACTGTTTCTACAATTCAGTGTAACAAGCTGGTTTTCTGACACTGTAGTAGCCACACTTCACTGAAGAGTCTTGTAGTTAAAACTTACAATGTCCAGTTACAGAAACATTTCTGTTAACTGCCATTTCACGTGTGGTGCTTGATATTTTGTTAAAGTTCTGTCTAAATGTTTTTGAACTGTGCTTCATGTACTCTGTAAGCTTTCAGTGGACAAAAACCCAACAGTTCATGTTACCTAATCAGATTCCAGCCTACCTCCATAGTGAGGGTCATAGTATGATGCTAGTGGTCTCTGTAATACTAAGGTTTCTAAAAGTCAGTTCTCTGTCATATTTTATCTCACTGTCTCTGGTGTCTTTTTTTTTGCTGGTACAGCTTATAGTAATTTTTGTTATTTGATATTTTTGATAATTTTAGGGTGGGCTTCTTAGATTTCCTAGATGTCCTAGAATCTTTTTATTATTGTGAATTAGATATGTTCCCTTTAAAAGGCCTCAAGCAGCATTCCCTAATGTGCTCTGGCTGCTCTGTGATGTGCTGGTGATGTAAAGCTTGTTAACAAACTACCGAAGCTTGTTTTACAGCTGTAATCCATTCTTGAAATGGCCAAAGCAGCCATTTCTTCCAAATCAGAGGATACCTATTGAAGCATTTCTGTTCCTAGGCAGGTTTTGAGTGATTGTGATTCCTCTCCCACTCTTGGCTAGTGCCCTTTTTCATGGTTCATCAGCTATATGGATTTTGGCAGAAGAATAAGCAACAAACACCTCGGCCATACAGCCACACACTGCCCCAAACAGAGAGGCAGTGGTCCGGCGTGCCTGTTCCCTTTTTGTACAACTCCTTTTTCCATTGTCTGGCTTCCCTTTAGATCGAGGAACTGGAAATACACTGACCGAAACCAGAGTCATCATTAGTCCTGATCTGTGGTGACTTTAACCATTCTGTCTTGAAAATAAATGTGTTACAAAAAGTCCCAAGGCTGGTGGACGTGGTTGTATGTTGCTGATCATTGACTCACCTGCATGTCCTTGCCCATTAGGCTCCAAGCACAAGACCATGGTCGAGGCTCGGAACGGTGCTGGTCCCATCAAGTCTTACCCTAGACCTGGATCCCGACTGAAGGTGCAGAACGGCAGTAAAGGCTCAGGACTGCAGAACAAGACATTTCATTGTGAAATCTGTGATGTCCATGTTAATTCAGAAATTCAACTTAAACAGGTAGATTGCATGTATCTGGGGCTCCTTTGTTGTTTTTGGTTACATTGGGATGTAGGTCTGTACAAAAAATGAACTTAGTATTTCTTTTCTGTCATCCCACAACTGTTTCTAAATAGTTCACTGTAGGTGAAATTCACCTAATTGTGCCAGCTGTGAAAAAATGGGCTTGAGACTCATAAAGCAGAGGTGGACAAGAAGTCAGTATCAATGAATAACATAGAAGATCTAGTTTAAAAGTTTGCTGTAGCTCAAGAGAAAGATTTGAACTTTGGTCTCCCAAATGGAAGAAATTGTCAGTTGAGGTTCCCAGATTTCCTCCTTTGGTGCTGTTTCAGTCTGCTGGGATGCTTTGAATACTATGGGAGGAGAATGTGACTTGAATCTATTGGTTTAGGACGATCGGCAGGAGGGTAATACTGTAGATACGTCTGAATTGTGTTGACCAACGTTATCATTAACAGCATAGCTGTACGAACATGCAGCTTTGCTCTGTCTGAGCCAATTAGCCCAGGGTTCAGAGCTGTGCCAATAGCAATACGTTGCTTCTGGTACCCAAATGGGAATCTCAAACTGGACGATGCTGTGCTGTGTGGATGTGTCTTCTTATTCCCTGTTATTTCAATTGTGGCTAAGATAGGATTAAATTGCATGGTGTAGACTTATCCCTGGGTACTGGTTCTTCCTTCAGCTAATATTGAATTATTTATACAACTGGACAGCATCAGTGAGACTGAAATTTACCTCCTGCTTCTGAATATCCCTATGACCTACTGATTACAGCTCTGCCTGGTTGAAAGCTCCTCAAGTGGAAAAAGGAAATACTAACCAAAATATCAATAATTTGCAGAGCCTGTCTCAGATCACAGAATTCGCTGTATTTGATTAGTTTCTGATTCTCTATTTGATGTGCTTCAAATTGTTCTGTTTAATTTAGTAAAACTCATCTTTGCTCTCTCTAAAGAACCTACTTTGTCTTACAAACAGGGGCTTAGGCATATCCTGCTGATAAATCAATTTCAAACTCAAAACTGAGAAATGTTTAAACAGCTAATTAAATGTGAGGCTATTTATTTCAGCACATTTCCAGCCGAAGGCATAAGGACAGAGTTGCAGGAAAGCCTATGAAACCTAAATATAGTCCTTACAACAAACTGCAACGCAGCCCAAGTATTTTAGCAGTAAGTATTTTTATTTCTCCTTACTATGTGAATTTGTGACCCTGGGGCCTCCCACCGCACAGAGGCAGGGACAGCACAGACCTGAAACTTGCGCAGGGTGAGGCGGCACAGGGATCAGATTTGAGGATAGTTAGGTATTCTGTCAGCCCAATCAAAGGCACACAGACAGCACTGCGAGTGTTATTTACTGCTAGGAAGAAGGGAATAATCAGCGGAATGGGGAATGAACCGCGTGCTCCATGGAAAGGTATCAGCTCTGCCGGGCTAGCGCACTTCTTGGAGGCTGCGATCTATATACTCTCTCTTTCTGGGCACCTGAGATAACTCTCAGTTATAACAGATGCAGTCAGGGAAAAGGATATAAGATGTTAAGATATAAAAATACTAATGCTAATTCTTTGCATATAGCAAACCAGACTGCTGTGTGGATGTGTTACCCTGGTGCAGAATTGTTATCAGGTGTTGAGGAGAATTGATTGCCTAGCTGCATGCTCGGGCTGTGTCTGTCACTGGCTATTGGAACACCTCTCCTGCCTTTGTGCCCCGAGCCGTTCCCCTTTCACACCCACCTGCATTTCCAGGAATTCCCCAAGCTGGTTCTGCCAGTCAGCTGCAGCCAGAGTTCAGGCTGGCTCTAGCACAGCACAGATTGTATGTTTATGTGCTCATGACTCAGCCTGTATTTTATTCATTAGGGAAAAGTGCATGCAACCTGTGGCACAAAAACAATTTATAGATTGGAAAGCAAGGGATGCACGTGTGTGTACAACAGTAAGCATGTGAAAAGCCTTTAAAAGCTGAAATATTAATTTGTCTTTGTAATTGTGTAGAGGCAAATGAAAATGCTGCAGGCTTTCTCGAAGTCTCCCCATCTGATAGGTTCTGCACACACTAATCTTCTTCCTCATTTGTGTAACACTTCATTGTATAATCTGTTGCATAAGGAGGGACCTCCACTAATAAAGGAAGGAAGTGAGTATCTTTCCACTCACAAATGTATGATCATGGTTGCAAACCATTTTCAGTGAGGCTGTAGTGTGTGTATTTCTGGTTAGCTTTTTCACCACAAGCACCAGCAACCATTGTAGATCATAAACTGAGTAATAATTCTTTCAGAAAGAATTCTTTATGGTATTGATCTTAAAAAATATTTCTATTTTGAAAAGAACAAACTGTGTTGGCAAGTAACAAGCTGACATGAGGCTTCTGTGAGAAACCACGGCGTGCCCTTTGTCAGGGTTCAGTTTTTTCCTCATGTAAAAGTGGGCTTGGGGAGAACTGCATTTACGTTGCTTTTTTGTGTGTTTTATTCCAGGCAAAACTTGCATTCCAGAAGGACATGATTAAGCCGCTGGCACCTGCTTTCCTTTCATCTCCTCTTGCTGCAGCCGCAGCTGTATCCTCGGCTCTGTCCCTTCCTCCCCGTCCCACTGCCTCCTTGTTCCAAGCACCTGCGATCCCACCAGCTCTCCTCAGGCCAGGCCATGGCCCGATCCGAGCAACACCTGCCTCCATACTTTTTGCACCATATTAATTTATTGATGTGAAAAAGAGATAACTATGGCCAGTAGAAAGGGTAAAAGAAAAGCAGGAAAGGGGTCGAGATTTTAAGATGTCTTTCTCTTTTGAAATGCCATCCAGCGTGACACCTCAGCCAGCCACACCATAAAATTCATTATTGACGGTACTGCATTTTGGAGTCTAGACAACTCTCTCAGTCTCTCTGTCTCTCCTTTTTTAATCCAAATAGAAAGTGATTTACTAAAAACTTAATTGCTCATAAAATTTATAACATTAAAGATTCATGCATCTAATTTTTTTTTTCAACATGTGTGATGCACCTTGGAATCAAGGAACGTAAAATATCTTCCTGACAGACTTGAAAACTAGGGTCTTCCTCGCTCACGCTTATGTAAATACTTCTCTGAAAACCAATGGGGTATCATCTAATGTGGAAAAAAAAGGTAGATGAACCAAATGCTTGATTGTGGATAACATCTCCAAAATGAATTGCGTCGTCTTTTTCTTTTTTTGCAGTGTGCTCTTGTTGACAGGGATTGTGTACTGTCCTAGGCCCAAGTACTGGTGTATCTTGTGTAGTACTAAAGATGTATCACATGTCTGATTTTAATATTTTTAGTTTCTGTGCAAATGTTTGAAAGCAGTGCAGCGCTGAAGCTTTAATTTTCTTTTGTGTCACACTTTATTTAGAGAAATCAAAAATAGAAAGCCATATAACGTATAATTAAGATTACTACTTGTTTGCTACTTTCATTTAACTTATTTTTGTTGTTTCCTTACTGGTGTTGCTAAGCAATGTTTAAAGAGAAAAAAAGCTTTTCAATTGCACATTACCACAGCTCATGTGCATTGTTCAAGATGACAATGGATCCATGTATTTGTACGTAAATACCCTTTTTTTCTTCATTTCTAACTAGTTTCCTTTGTAACGATGCTGCATAACATTGTGGCTCCCTAATGCAATAATGTACAGAACATAAAATATTTATAATTGACCGTAATCTCTGTTTACTGAATATATTGCAGTAATGCCCCACCTATGTTCTTACCTCCCCAACCCTTTTATAAAGGTGATATCAATATGCAGTACTCAGACTGGAGTCATTATGTGATAATGGGAACAACAGGTGGAAGAAAGGGAAAAAAAAAAACAGAATTAACTTTTAGAGCATCTCTATCTGCAATCCATAATAGTAAAATGTCTGTGTATTTTTTTAAATGTACCTTTTCAATAAAAAATAAGGAAAATATACATGCTTCTTGTGTGTATTAATTGGTACAGCGCCTGTAACAAACAAATTGAGCTAAAGGAGTCTTCAGGAGCAGGCAAAATATTAGAGTTGCAATAAAGTATAATTACAGAACCTGTGTTTACTTCCCTTGTGTTTTAACGTCTTTTCCCTGCTACATCCCGTTACAGCCTTTTACTGGGGCTTTTTTGCAGTGAGACTGTAAACATTCACTACATCGGAGATTCAGAGGAAGAAGCAGTAGAGCCAGGTGGGTAATTATCATTTTATTATTGCACCACCAAAATGCTACAACATGGTTATGCCATCTCTGATGGAGATCAAGGATTAACTTTAAAACCAGCCTGGGCATACCTGAGACCGGAGGCAGCTCACTTCGGAGCCAGGACTTGCTCTGAAGCATGGCCAAAGCAGGCACATGCCTGACGCAGCAGACTTTTGAAGGCAGGTGTTTGGGGAAGCTTTGAAATGATCTTTTCCTCTGCCGAAAAGCTTGAACTATTCTGTGAAAATCTTGTCTTTGTTACTACAAAGTGAAAAGTAAAGGGTACAAGAGTAAAAAGAGTCAACTATAAGGCTGTTAGGGTTCATACAAAGCCAACAGGGCCATTACAAAGCCACAAAGGCCAAGAAATAAAAAGGTCAAGAACTTTAATAATACAGAATTTACAGACCAGCTTATACCTCATAGTTGCAACATATTAGAGAGTATTTTCTGCCCAATTTCCACTATTCAGTGGAGCAGTCGACTGTGTTGTGAGAGGATAATTCACTGGAGAATCACCTACAAAGGGGTAGGTAAGGGAGTCCAGGCTTTTAGCATCCTCTGGGGAAGCAGGTACAGTTGTGTTAATCCTGTGGACTGTGACAATTAAAAGGGATTACAGGTGGGCACTCTTCCGTGCGCATCTGTTTGAGTCCAATTTTGTAACTCACGCCTGTAGGGAGTCGGGTGTAACTGCTCAGCCACTTTCCGAGCGGGCGCTTGTGTGAGGAGCCTGTTCCTGTCCAACATGAAACAGGTTTGCAGAACTATGTTCATCAGGAAACAAGAGTTGTCTGTGTATTAAAACACTAGTGTACCTGCTTTTTGTAAGCTACTGTTGGTGATGAGAAATTTAAAGCAATTGCAAGTTCCCATACAAAATACAGAAATCCTGTACTAAGGAGGGGACTGGGAGGGGTGTACAGGTTTCTTGGCCAGTTGATTATTTCAAAGAGCATCTTGCACTGGAGAAATAGGTCACTAAGAGTGAAGGCATGCATCGTGTAATTCAGCAATGAGAGGAATTAATTAACCTGTGAAACACAAGGAGCTGAAAGACTGTGATTGTAAGCCAAGGATGACTCATGTTCAGATTCATATTCAACAGCCTTTGTACTCTTTTCTGAGTTAACTTGCGCTTTCTGTACTGTAACTCTGCTTGCCACCAAAGTTTTGTCCATGACATGCAGGACAGGAGAGAGTCCAGTGGAGGGCTACGAGGATGATGAGGGGCCTGGAGCATCTCTCCTATGAGGAAAGGCTGAGGGAGCTGGGCTTGTTCAGCCTGAAGAAGAGAAGGCTGCGAGGGGGCCTAATAAATGCTTATAAATATCTGAAGGGTGGGTGTCAGGAGGATGGGGCCAGACTCTTTTCAGTGGTGCCCAGCGACAGGACAAGGGCCAACGGGCACAAACTGAAGCATAGGAAATTCCGTCTGAAGATGAGGCAGAACTTGTTCACCCTGAGGGTGATGGAGCACTGGCACAGGCTGACCCAGGAGGTTGTGTAGTCTCCTTCTCTGGAGATATTCAAGACCCGCCTGGACAAGGTCCTGTGCAGCCTGCTGTAGGTGACCCTGCTTCAGCAGGGGGTTTGGACTAGATGACCCATAGAGGTCCCTTCCAACCTCTAACATTCTGTGATTCTGTGACAGAGCATTTGAGATGGTCATTACATGATAAATGGCAAAACATCTCGTGTCTGCTGGAATCTCGCATTTTAGAAACGAGCTCTACACGAGAAGGAAAATTGGTATCATACTTCCGCAAAGGCTATCAGCTGCTTTTTTGATATGTTAGAATGTTTTCTCCTGAGGTGTAATATCATTACAGACAGCTGGCTATGAATTTCATAGGAATATTTCATATGAACATATGAATTTTCATGGATTTTCTTATAACAAAGAACTAGTACTGAAATATAATATTTGCAATGCAGTTACCTTTTTGAATAGATGTATTGAATGTGCAAACCACTAAGGTAATAAGGTTGAAGTAATAGGATCACATCCTCTCGTACGTCTGTTATTCTAGATCTGTTCACTGCACTCTGAGCTGCCAGTTGTTCCTGTATGAGAAGTCAAAAGTGACAAGGGACACTGTGTTGGTCAGGGCTTGTCGGCTGGCACTGCCATCTTTCTGTAGCAGAAGAAAAAGGATGGGGAAAGGAAAAAAAAAGCAGGAATTTTCTGCTGGCATGTGTGGCTGGATCATGGTCCCTGTACTGCTAAAGATTTCCATAAAGGGCATCAAGCAGAGAATGTAGTCCAGTAGTCTATACAGATATATACTTTTAAGAAAAATAGTAGAAATAGGATCTTCTGTGACGAATGCAGGCTACAAGTATGTGTGCCTCTCATTTCTGCAGGTCAAAATGACAATAAAATCTTTCCCTCTGGTTTTGGTCAGACAACAGAAGGAAGAAGACAGAAGCTAGCACACACATTGCCCTATCCATATCACCACTTGAACTCCTATGATAACGTTGCACTGGGAATTGCAGTCCATCTACTGTAAACTAATAAAGGTTTCCTGTAAGAAAGAGATTTTTTTATTAAAAAAAAAATTACCTTATTTTACTCCCTTACTTTATGATCTTGGTCTATAAACTTTATACTCAGATAAGTTTTACAAAAGAATTTGTCGCATTTGTCTGAAAAAAAGATAACATGGTTGTCTTAAGCTCTGCGGGAGGTATTTTGCTACCTTTATGCATCTGGCAATAATGCAGTGAGCCTCACTGTATATCTTTTGAACATGTCACCTCGAATAAGTGAGGTACTGTACTATTTATTCATGCTTGGTTGGACAGTAAATCTCCACAGCTGTCATCTTCTGGTCGCAGTGGTCACGATGATTTTCTTACTATGGCTAGTATATTTTTTCAACCATTATTTTTTTCTTAACATTTTTGTTAAGTGAGAACCTAAACATCCTCAAATATTTATTGGAATGACCAGCATTTCAGGTAAAACTATATATATCTTTTTGAATATCTAGAATTGTTAAATATTATAATCTTTTGGATTAAAAAAACACTAATTTAGAAATGTTTCTGTTTGGTTTAGTGTCCTATTCATCTCTATTTGTATTGATAGAGTACTGTGCTAGATGCTGAATGCCAAGAGCCAACTCCTGCCAAGCACCAGAGGTGGAGGATGCCAAATCAAGCCTGTCACCTTTGAAAGGCTGCAATTGAGGGGGGTCCCCCATAGCTGGAAAAAGGACAATTTTATGCCTGTCTGCAAAAATGGCAACAAAGAGGATCTGGGCACCTGAAAACAAGTAGATGATTGGGATTGGCCAGCGTGGGTTTACAAAAGCGAAAATCATGCCTGAGCAGCCCGAGTGCTTGCTGTGATGAGATGCCTGTCTGTGCAGACAAGGGGAGCGGCGGGTGCCCGTACCTTGGCTTCAGTAAGGCTTTGGACACCATCTCTCATGGAATCCCTGCAGGCAGATGGGGGCAGCATGGACAGGGTAGGTGACCACAAGGCAA